CCCCGCGGGGCAGCAGCAGAGGCCAGCTCTGCTGTCGCAGCGTCTCTGTGCCGAGGGAACCAGGGTCAGGAGGGGACCGCACCGCCCCACGGATGAGCCGCATGGCCGCTTCCCACGGCAGCGCTTGCCTCTACGCCTTGCTCAGCCTTTCACCTCAGCCTGGGTGCAGCGGTGCCGGCGAGGTGCCCACCGGACCCCCTTGGCTTGCCCGTTTTCGCAATCCTTTTTGCAGAGCCCTGCCTTGCTTGGCCAGCAGAGATGGCCAGAGCTCCCCCAGGGACTAATGTGTCAGACCTTCCCCAGGCAAGAGATCCCCCAAAACACCGCAAAACACATCTGCTGAGCCAAAGGAGCCAGAGTTTATTCACTGGGACCAGGGCAGGGAGGGTCGTTGCAATCCCAGCCCGGGCACAGGGACCGAGCCCGGCTGAGCGGTGCTGCACCGGGTCCGTGCCACGTGCCCCCATGCCTCCATCCCCCAGGCTGCCTGCGAGGCTCCACATCTCCAGGCCTCCTCGCCAGCAGTGCCTTATACAGTGGTCCCCACTGCAGCATCCTCAGGCCCATGGCTCTCCTCCTCGCTCACCGCTTTCTCTTCGAACACTCGGAGGAGAGCGACTTTCGCGGAGCCCTGGAACTGGCGCTGCCAGCAGCTCCCCGCCAGGAAATAAATGAGTGGGTTGATGCTGCTATTCAGTGATGCCAGCAGGTAAGAAATATGAAGGTAAAACTGGTTTAAATAAATAGGATCAAGGAAAACCACCACACTGAATGGCAACCCAAAGATGAACAAGAAGATCACGTTGAGCAGGACAGCAACATAGAGTTTCCCTGGGTGTCGTCTCTGTGAGCCGCGTTGGAGTTTGATGAACAGGGAAAGGTTGGAAAGTAATGGGAATAAAGAGAAAATGAGAAAGTTCACAATGCTTACACCTCGTAATAGTTGTACACAGCTTATATTCAAACGGAAATAACAGCTAATGAAAACGAAAGAAACAAAAAGCCCGGCAAAAGCCCAGAGCACTCCACACATGATGCCTGACAAGTGCTTTGGGCGGCGACACCGGTACCAGATCGGGAACAAAACAGACAGGCACCTCTCCATGCTCTTTGCTGTCAGGAGATACATGCTGGCAAAATACCAAAACAGAAACAGATCCATCAGGATATACTTGATCAAACTATGTTCAAATAAGAAATGACAAAAGGCTTTTGAAATAATGTATAATGTAGGTATAACAAGAAGGAGCAGGAGCAGAGAGAAGTCAGCGATGGCCAGGTTCAGGACACAGATGGTGAAGGGGCTCCTCTTCATGTGGAAGCCCAGGACCCACACGACTATCATATTGCCCACAGGTCCACACAGGCAAACACCAATACAGACACCTGAAATTATCAACAACATATAATCTTTCGGTATGCACGGAGACTGATTAACTGCCGGAGAGTCTGCATATCCAGAAGTCACGTAGTTCAGAGAGAGGTCTGTTGTGTTGGCCTCCACCATGGCCAATGACCCTGCTCTGGGCAGCCACCTTCTCCTTCTCCCACCACCTCCTAGGAGAAACGAGGAAGGAGCAGGAAATGAGGGGCATCGGCGCTCCCAGCACTCGCCGTCTCTCCCCACGGCCCCACGCCAGCCCCAGGTTGTGCCGGGAAGGACCCGGTCCCCTGCCATGCCCGGGAAGAGCTCCCAGCCCTCCAGCCCTGTCCCTGGCCTGGAGGCATCTCCCACCTGCCCGTCCCTGGCCTCCTACCTCCTGGTGCTCCTGGGAGCAGCGCTGCCGCAGGAGATCCCGCACACGGGTTCCGCGAGGCCGGGCTTGCCGGGAGAAAGGGACTGGTGATGGGTGCTGTGGCCTCCCCGCTCTGCTTTGGCCTCGTCCCTCGTGCCCGAGGAGCAGACCTTTGCTCAGGGATCACGTCCCATGGTCAGGAGAGTCCCCATGGTTAAGGCCGTGGGACTGTCAGGGATTTCTGAGGGGTTTCTACTGGTTCATCCCCGTTGTTGATGGTCCCTGTCCCATCTCACTCATTCTCATCTTTCTGTCTTCCTCCTGCCCTGCCAAATCTCTTCCACACCATCCCCTTGGCGATGCCGTAAGGATAGCAAAGGAACAGAAGAGAGTTAGGGGAAGTCCTCCACCACCAGCTTCGCAGAGCAACACCCAGGAGACCCCGCCATGGCGAGCTGAAGCTGGAGAACGGGGGTGTAGAGATCCTGAGCAGAAGACCATTATACATCGTGGAGTCAGTGACCCACAAAACGCTCAACCTGAGCAGCCGCAGGCCCGTGCTGTGCCATGCCGTGCTGTGCTTTGCTGTGCATGTCCCTTGGCCGCGGGATAAACGTGGTAGGTTGACAATAAGGCAGGAGCCCGCAGGCAGCTCCTACTGGGTGCTGGTGATTACACCACCTGCGCGTCCTTGCCTTTATCTGAGACCGCTGCAGCGGTTCTCATGTGAACGCCCTTTTTGTCTGACAACGCAATGAGTTGTTTTCTTTTTCAAGAATAAGCCTGTAATAGCTCAAATGAGCGTAACGGGGTAACCTTTCCACGGACAGGGTCTGCCCTGACCGGAGGTCTGTTTGATGCTGCAAGCCCTGGGGGTTGCAGCCCCTGAAGGGACATGAGGTTATCTGTGCTATCCTGCCCTTCTTCACAGTTTTAGATCTAGTAAATGGCATTTAAAATGATACTTTACAGAGTCTGAGTGCCTTTCTTAACAGAATCCTAACTGATCAGCAGCTCCTGGTGAAAAATTGGGGGGAGGAAAGGAAGGGAGTGATGTGGCCAGCCCTGACTGACAAGATCGCCGTGCATGGGACACGTGAGGGGAATCTGTCACCGATGAGATGAGATTGTGAGGGGACTCTCCTGACCATGGGACGTGATCTCTGAGCAAAGGTCTGCTCCTCGGGCACGAGGGACGAGGCCAAAGCAGAGCGGGGAGGCCACAGCACCCATCACCAGTCCCTTTCTCCCGGCAAGCCCGGCCTCGCGGAACCCGTGTGCGGGATCTCCTGCGGCAGCTCTGCTCCCAGGAGCACCAGGAGGTAGGAGGCCAGGGACGGGCAGGTGGGAGATTGCTGCCGGCCCGGGACAGGGCTGGGCCAGGGACAGGGCTGGAGGGCTGGGAGCTCTTCCCGGGCATGGCAGGGGACCGGGTCCTTCCCGGCACAGCCTGGGGCTGGCGTGGGGCCGTGGGGAGAGACGGCGAGTGCTGGGAGCGCCAATGCCCCTCATTTCCTTCTCCTTCCTCGTCTCTCCTAGGAGGTGGTGGGAGAAGGAGAAGGTGGCCGCCCAGAGCAGGGTCATCGGCCATGGTGGAGGCCAACACAACAGACCTCTCTCTGTTCAGCAATTCCTTGTATGATGTAGCGCATGGGAGAGAGGGCCAGTCTTGTGAATCACAGACTTCCACAGTTCACTTTTTCGCACTCTTTTGGTGGGGTGTTGGGCTCCGTGGGCTGCTGGGGAATGGGGTAGTCGTGTGGGTCCTGGGCTGCCACGTGAGAAGAGCCCTTTCACTGTCTACGTCCTCAACCTGGCCATCGCTGACTGATCATCTTTTTTTGTTTACCATTTTTGTTACTCGGTGCAGGGTTTTTTTGTGTTTGAACTTCCTAGATGTAATTTTCATGGCAGTTTACCTCCTCTTCCTCTTGTCACCTTAGCAGCACGTATCTCCTGACAGCAATCAGTGTGAAGCGACGTCTCTCTGTCCTCCTGTCAATTCGGTGTCTATGCCGCTGCCACAACCACTTGTCAGGTGTCGTGTGTGGGGTGCTCTGGGCTTTGCCTGGCGTTTTCATTTGCTTAACTTCTATTTGCTGTGATTTTTACCTAATGTCTGCCTGTAGCGACATATTCAGAGGTGCAGACCTTCTGAGCTCCCTCACATTCTCCACCCTGCCACTGCTGTCAAACTCAATCCTATTCATCAAACTCCTGTGTTGCTCGCCGAGGCGTCCCCCGGGGAGGCTGCACACAGCGCTTCTCCCCACCAGCCTCTTCTTCGTCTTTGCTGTTCCTTTGACTGTCGAGCAAGTTTTGGAAGGCTTGTTCATTGAACGTGGTGAACTTTGGACAAATGCATTGTCCCTGCTGGTGGCTGCAAAAAGCAGCATGAACCCATTAATTTACTTCCTGGCGAGGAGCTACCAGCAGCGCCGGTTCCAGGGCTCGGTGAAAGCTGTCCCGCAGCAAGTGTTGGAAGAGAAAATTGTGTGTAAGGAGGGAAGCATCCTGCCCGGGGAGGCAGCTGTGGAGATGGCTGGCTGAATCCCCGCTGTCGAGGGGAGGGAGGCCGGGGCTGCTCCCGTGGGGCAGAGCGGAGAGGCAAGCGGCTGAGCGGGTGACGTGCCTCCTCTGCCTGGGACTGTGGTGGGGACAGTCACTGTGGGAGCATCCTCAGGTCTCCTCGAGGCTGATTCCTCTCCTCATTCCTGGTATGAGGCGATACCGTGCAAGGGGCACAGACCAGGTAGGGCAGGGGAGGAGGAGCGACCCTGGATGTTGGCCAGGTCTGGACCCTGCATGCCAGCTTCTCCCTCGCTTGAACTTAAGACCAAGCCTGGAGGGCTCCGGTGCAGTGTGTCAGCCCATGGGAGGCTGCTCCCAGCAGACATGGGGTTCGTTGCAGCTACCTCAGGCTCATACAGAGACATCCGACGGTGCAAACGCTGGTGGGAGTGGGGAGACCTCAGGCGGGGGAACACGGCGGGGCAGCAGGGGCTGAAGATGCTGATCCCCCCAGGCAGCCCGGCGGGGAAAGAGGGCCCCCATGCCCTGGACCCAGCCTTAATAAGCTCTTGCACCCTTTGGTCAGTGAGAGTCTTTGTGGTCTTTTGGGGGATCTAAATCTGCTTTTTTGAAGCTAGATCTAAATCAGAGAAAGAAGGGAAAATGTTCTGATCAGAACATGCAAAGAATCAACAGGGGCTCATGGCCTTTCTTTTTTGTTTGTTTTTCTTTTTACAGGGCAGCACTTTCACTGAAGCCATTTCATGTTCGTTAACAAGGTTTGGAGAACTTTTGATGACTGATTACAATGTTGTTTTAGCGTAGATTTCACTAGAAACCATGATGCCTCCCCACCTCTTCTCCCCTTACCTAGTTACGCTCTCAGCTCCACTAATTGTGTTTAGGGGATCTCTGTGTCTATAGTGGGGTCACCAGGCACACCTGTGATTCCTGCACTGCAAGAATGCCTCCCACATAAATATTTTACATTTACTTTATTTTTAACCAGAGCTTTCTTCAACAGTAAAAGAGAAAAGTAAATCACCATAACAAAAGAAGTATTGCTGTTCCTTATGATAGTCTTGGGACATAACTGAGGGAGGATCTGTAGCTATAGGCAATATCTCTGGACCTTGCTGGAGTTCACTGTCACATAAATGCAGCTCCCATGAAAGCTTTGCTCTTTCATGGGCCAGAAGCAGCCTCAAGAATCTGTGAACAACAGCCGAAGTGTTTACACAAGTGTAAATGTCTGATACAAACGCTGTAGGTGGAGAGCCTGAGCCCCGCAGCCTACAAAGCACAGGGTGCTGGTGTGGACCTACCTTGGGATGCAGATCAAAGAGGTGCCAGGGTGGCTAGAGGTACAGGTGGAATTGGGGAACAGGGATAGTATAAAGTGCTTGCATGACGAAGGATTTGCTTGGAGAGAACAGATGAAGAAGAGCATCCCCAGAGTGCTAAATCCTCATGTGTACTTGGGTGAGTGACACAGGAGCTGGTCCTGTTCCCGCTGGAATCACTGGAGAAAGTGTTATGCACTTGGCAAAGAGCAAGCGCAGCTGTCGAAATACCAGACTAAACAGCTGGAATTATCTGTTCTAAAATAAACTTGGCTTTTCTGTCCTATTTCAGCCCACATTGAGTTGAAGGTTCTTCCCGTGTCTTAAAGAAAAAATTATTTATCTGTTCCAGTCCCCATTTTCTGTTTTCATTTTCCCCTTTGTTTATTTTCATTATGATTTGCCTTATACTCAGTGCTCTGTCTTTGACAGTAATTCACATATTATTTCCTCTACCACACATCGTGCAATGAGTATTCCTGGTTCTTCTCAGAGCCCTCCTTTTTGTCAGGAACTTCCCATAAAATGGGTGATGCATGCATTTGTGCTCTAATGCAAAGCACAGCTATGACGGAAACGCACCCTAAGGAAGCTCCGGAATAGGCATAATGGACTGAGTTAACAAGATGTATTTTAAGATGGAGAAAATCACATCCATGAGACTCATCAACTAAAACCAGAGAACAATAAAACCAAAACAATTAAGTAGGTGCTAATATTAATATAATTACGAGGACAGAAACAATCTATGTAAAATATCTGTCAGTAAAAAAGGATGTTTTCTATATTGCTTATCTTCTGAAGTCTCTTTCCATTACTCATTTCCTCTACCCAGAGAAGATTAGGAGTCATGAGCATTGCTGAGTGCCCTAAAACTTGGTCCGTGTTCGGAAGAAATTGGGCTTCATGAGCTCATT